GTTGCCTCTCCCACTGCTGTTTCCAATCGTCGTCCTTCGGAAGCGATGGAGACGCCATGTACTGGAATGGGAATATCCTCGGGGAACCAACCAGTTTCTGGGCGTAGCGCTGAATACTCGGGACCGTGTCCCAGGCGTTCGAGAACCCGACGCCGCCCCAAGGTGAGGCAAGAGGCGAGCCGGCTGGCTGTACGTGGGGAACGTCACGCTTAGGAGAGGGATGGGGCGAAGGGATGGGAGAGGTCGTCCGCTCAGATTCGATGAAATTGGCGACCGGGGGAGGTGGGTCAGTTATGGGAAAGACTCGTCTGGGAACGTGGCGTGGCTTCTCTTCCCACGGGAATACCGCATGAACCTTCGATTTATCCGGAGCCGGCGGCGACGATACGGATTCAGGAGAGTCCTGGGGAGGGGAAGGACCGAGGACGTTCGAATACTGGCCTTCGCGGATGAGATGATCAGGTATTACGGAAGGAGGAGGAGGAGTAAAAAATTCCCTTTCCGCAGAAGGCGAGGCAGCAGGATGACGATGAGTGTCACGAGAGTGGTCAAACGACTGATCCCAGATATTAGGGTAATAAGTATCCTCAGGAAAAGCGGACGGTGGCGGGGGTGTTTTGGGAGGTGGCTCTATAGCAGGATTCCACTCCATTTTCGGCGGAGAAATGGGCCTAGGTGGTGGTGCCCGCTGATGATGCTGCGGCTGGGTAGATCCTTCGTTGTGAGACTGAGGCTGGTGCTGAGGTTGAGGCTGGTGCTGCGGTTGAGGCTGGTGCTGAGGCTGGTGATGGTGATGCCGGGGTTGCTGGTGCTGGTGCTGCTGATGCTGCTGGTGCTGGTGTTGGTGCTGGTGCTGGTGCTGCTGATGCTGCTGCTGCACATGGCCTTGATGATGTTGAGAATGCTCGTGATGATGGTGACCATGGTGCTGAGTCTGCCCCGGCTGATGCTGACCACGATGCCCCTCGTGCCTCCACGGCTGATCCTGGGTAGGCGTACGATCCCCGCCATGCAAATGGCGCTCCTGGTACCCCTGCTGCTGTCGAGGTGGCGTCTCGTATCCGCCACGCCTTGGGTCTCCCCGCTTCGGGCTAGAGTATCCAGGCTGGTGAACATGACCCTGGCTCTGCTGGCGGTGGTGAACAGGCTGGTGCGAGGGATATCGGATGGCAGGTGGCGTGTGCTCCGAATCGGAAGAGTCCTGCGGCGTAAATGACGTACGCTGCTGGCTGGTATGAGACGGAGCGCGATGCAGATGGTGGGATGGATGATGAATCGTTTGCGGTACAGTATGTGACGAAGCACCCTGCGGCTGCGAACCCACGTACACAGGCCCAGGATGACTCTGAGACGAGTGCGATATCTGCAGACTGTTCTGTTGACCGTGCTGACCAACATGCTGGGAAGGGGGACCGTGGTATGGAGTAGGTGTCTGCGTCGGTGGTAAAGATCCACCATGATGGTACGGGGCGGGAGGAACTTCGTTCGGACCTGGGGTTGGCAACGTCGCGGTCCTGAAATAGTCTCCCTGATAGGGAAATATCTGGATGTGCGTCGGTCGCGGTGTCCCTGGAGATTCTTCTTGTTGCTGGCCGGACTCCACGGAAGGCTGTTGTTGCGGCTCTGAATTTGGTTTTGACTCTGGCTCCGGCTCGGGCTTCCGAGAGCGCATCAAATCCACCCGTCCCTCAAGAGGAAGAGACCGGTATGCGCCCATGACAGGCCCGGCAATAAACGGTAGAGCGACAGCGGGAAGAGAGCTCGTCCCTTCCACTGCGATCCGACGCAAATCCTGTAGACCTAACGCGCCACCAGAGGAGGATTGCGGTCGGGTTCCGGAAGCGTCTCCCGTATCCCAGGCTGATATATATGCATCGAATTTGAACTCGGGCGAATTCGAGACGGTATCCATGCGATAATGCGTGTCATAAACTTCGAACCACTTGTCCACAAGTGCCTCATAGTTGTATGCCCTCTTTGTGCCATCGTCAAGGGTAGCCTCGGAGCTCTTGATTCCGGGTGAACGGTACGTCAGGCCTCTCCAAGGTTTGTTATATCCGATGAAATGAATCGCCCGTATGGCAGATCCAAAGCGTTCATACGCAGGAGCATACCTGCACAAGGGACAGTAAATCCCGTGCTGAATATTCAAGGATATCGATCGGAGACTCACGTGTATGCAGCGGTAGGGGTTGTGTTGTAGACGAAGCTGAGTCGATGCCAATTGGAGCCCCTCCACTCGTTCAACAGCCCCTGATCTCCGCCATCCCAGCTGCCCTTGGTTTTCTGCAAGTCCATAAGCTCCTTGAACTTTTCTTCGCCAGGAGTTACCACAAGGACTCCCGAGTTAAAGATATCTGGCCATCCGACGTCCGGAATGGCGGAAAACTCATGTGGCGTGGAGAAGAGGTGGGATATCGGTAAAACAGGAAGGACATCTGCGTCCAGGAAAATTATCTTCGAGTACTGAGTTAACCGGAATATGTGAAGTTTCGTGAGGACGGTGTTGAGATCCGGACGACCTGAAAGAGCGAGGGTATCGTTAAGAGCAAGTCCGAGGCGTTGGTGGATTTAGAGAGCCAATATTTCTCGTCACGGCTCGCCATGAGATCCGGACTGGCGGTGCCCAGGGGACCCCGTGACTTTCGAGATTTACCGCAAAGGGGACGGGGACCGACGCGTCAAGAACTGATATTCAATCCCGTCTCCACGCAGACCAAGTAGTAGCGTGGAATGGGGACGCGATTGTCGAGGGATCGATAAACGTGACTCGTGCTCACCTAGCAGACGCAGCTTCCGGTCGTCCTCCTGCTCGATTATCTCGACACCTATGACAACATTATATACGCTCCTAAGGAGCTTGATCGTCGACACGTCGACCGTCTCTGGGGTGGTGAGGCAGACCGTGTGAAATTCTACCTCCGGCGGGGCAGGCGGAAACGGGTGCAGGTCCTTGAGCGCAGCGGCGAGCGCGAGAGCGCCTGGAAGGTAGAAATCGGAAGATACAAGAGTTACAAAGGCATAAGGAGTGGCCATTTAGCGCAGGGGCGCGCAGAAGAGACGGAGCGGGACGTCTTTATGGACGAGGGGAACGTCGCAGACGTTGAGGACGTGTTCGAGTGGCAAGATAGACCCGTCGCGGAAGCGCCCTGGTAAATTCTGGCAGCGCATCGGCGCTCGCATCCCTGAAGCTAGACGCCCCTGGCTGATCTTAGATCCCGCTTCTTCCGTGCCGTCAGAGCGTCATGATTACGTAAGCGGAACATCTTTGTGTATTGGGAAGCTCCTCTACAAGAGTACTCCCGAGGTGCTACTCACGGGCCGTCGCAAAGGCCCGTATAAAACTTGCATAACTACGGGCACCGCCGGACTGTGTCTGTCTGGTATCGCGGTGATGAGAGAAAAGCGGCATGCGGTAGAATTAAGAAGACTAGTTTCGCACGTACGAGAACACCGCAATATATGACGGCCCACTCAAGGAGGAGCACGTCGGCCTTTGTGTGGTGGCTGCAACCAGAGAAATTTACAAGGTTGATTGAGTTAGAGAGGCTTCTCTGGAGGTTTCCCCGTAGGAGCTACTCCGCTTTCCCCTCTCTTAAACAAATGCGTCTTATAATTGGGCACGCCGGTGGCCTTGTAGTTCAACGTCCGCTAATCGTCACTATTGCAGTAATTATGTGCGGATAACAGTAGAACGCCTATCATATCTCTATACAGAAGGGGTCAACCTGGCCAACAGTCAGCGTGCTATGGAAAAGGCTACAGAAGACGTACCAATCGTATTTGACCAACTCATCCGCGTCTACAAGGGCTGAGGACGCCAGCTCTCTTGCTTCCATGTATACCCATACCTAAGGCGAGTTCAATAAAAATCACCGCGCCGAACCAGAACAACCGCCTTTACCTTTATAAAGGCACCGAGATTGCTCTTCTCCATTTGTCTGAGATTCTCTTGCGTACCCATTTGGCGACCAAGCTGCCTCAAAATAGGCAGCGCGCTCTTGAACAGATCCAGACCAGGGTCGAGTCGTCGTCCAATGCCTTCGAGCAACAGCACCGAGATAACGGTGTTCACGAAGTCGGCCTCCATTTTGATGTGGTGCTCCCTCACCGCCTTGAGAACCGAGTGCAGAATGTCCGAGATCTTGATTTGCCCCAACGAGAAGGTCTTACGCTTCACTTGAAGGACGATATGCTGCATCTTCAGGGCGAATGTTTCAGGATCCACCGCGAGCTCGGGCGTACGACACCGCTCAACCATTAGCTCTCCAGCCCGGTAACCATCAAACTCTGCAATAGCGCGGAAAAGGTCCAGAAAATTCCGACGATTGTTCGAATCCAGGGTCGTCACCAACCCTGCGTCTATGAAGATTATCTTCGGGAGGTAGCCTTCGTCATGGATTTTCTGGAGCTGCGCTTGCCATGCCTGCGGATTCTTCCTCAGCTGACGTAATTCGTCCACAATATTCTCCGTCGTAGGATCCGCGAACATGGAGCTAGCATGAGCCAATTCCTCCTTCGCTTGTTGCAGCTTCGACTTCCAAAGTGCATTCCAGGCGCTCTTGAGAAGTAACACTGTAGACTGCGGCTTCGCAAATTTGATCATTATATTCCCTGGATGCAAGTCGGAGTGTACGAAATTATCCAGGAGAAGCATGTTCTATGAAAGATAAGTCAGATACAACGGTAGAGGAAGCGAGGCACTCACCAAGAACGCATCAAGTCCCACTTCCGCGAGGACGTCGTTATAAGGCCCACCGCCATTATGAAGAAAGTCTTCTAGAGACAAAGCGTTCTGATATTCTTCAACGAGCATATCCCTTGTGCTCCAGAGATCTAGAGGTCGAGGGAACGTTACAGGCAGCCGCCTCCCAGCAAAGCGATTCTCGAACTCGACAAGATTATGGCTTTCGTTGCGCAAGTCTAGCTGTTCGCGCATCATACGACCAAATACCTCGACTTCTTCCGGGAGGGAAAGCCACTGTACACCGGGGATGAGTGTGAGGACATCCGCAAAAAACGCCATTATCTTCAAGTCCCGGTTGATGAGGTTTTGGACCCGAGGATGCAAGATCTTGATAGCCACTGCGTTAGTGGGAACTTCTTCACGAGGATGGAGAATGGCTGGGGTAAGTGCGGCGGGTCCGGAGGGACGTGCTCTTTTCGGGGCAAGATGTGAAGGAGGAATGAGGTCGCTCCTTAGTTTTGCGCGGTAGACCTGAAAGAAGTAAAATATTTAGCTACAGCAACATTACCAGAAAGGGACGCACCTGAGCAATTGCGCCAGTACCAATCGGCGTGACCTCGAACTCCTCGAATACCTCATCGAAGGGTCTCTGGAAAACGTGCTCAATGACATGCCTTGTGTGATTGAACGGGTGAGCTTTCCCTCGTGAATGCAGCGCTCCCATGCGGTCACAGAGGAGGGTGGGGAACAGATCTGCTCTTGATGCAGCCCATTGCCCGAGCTGCAGCAAAGGTTTTATAGTGACGCCTTGACGAGAAACGCCTGTGCACATACCTTGACGAATGTCGGCCCTGCCCTCTGCATCTGGGCTGTCAAAAACTCATACCACCATACGGCACCCCATCTATCCCCTCCTAGCTCCTTTTCAGGCTTGCCAACCAGCAGCATGGGCGAAGTCAGGAGGACCGGTACAAAGAGGATGAGGAGGTGCACAAGTCTCCGCGTCGTGAGGATAGGTTCCCAGACATTATCGCGGAGGAAACAGACTACTTGGGAGACGAGTGATCGGTTGGGCTCTGCAGGTGAGGATATTGTAGGCTCCGGTGGTGGTTTGCGGATGTCATTACACGGTATGATGGTAGGCGAGTATAAGATGTCCGCAATTAGAGACCGCGGCTTCGGAGAGAGGTAAAGTGCTAGACCACCCGCCACAGGGACAAACCAGAGGTATCTCCGGAGGCTTCTCTGTCCTTGCTGTGATATTCGAGTCGGTAACGGTGCGGCGGTGTGTGTCCTCCGTATCCATACGAAGGTATTGCGGGGCGTGGTTCTATAAGTGGAAAACTCTACGTATGAGAAAATTACCTGCCTCATGCCTGGGGGCATTGCAGACCAGCGTAGAGCCATGTAAGGAGTGTGTGAGAGTCACAGCGTAGGCATTTTGCATGAAGGATAGAGTGAGCGCGAGTCAGAAGCGCACACCTGCCGGAGCATTCTGATTGGCTGACGTCATAGGCGAAAAACGCGAGCTCGTCCGTAACGAGCACACAGCGGAAAAGAAGAGAAGCTAAACTATCGCAAGAGATATCCTGTCTACAGTACATTGACACCACAAACTGATATCACCGGGATGCATCCGATCCAGAATCATGTTCAGCATACATGTCATCCTCGTCCGACTCGTGATCAGAGTCAGAAAAATTGGTGTCATTCCGGGACCCTTCAGCATCCCGGTAAGCGAACTCCAGCTCCTGCCCTACCAACACCAACAGCGGCGGAGGGCTCCCTTTCTTACA